TTCACCAAAACCATGTCTTGGAAGAGGCAAGGGAAGAATGCCATTTAAAAAACAAAATCCAAAAAAACCCAACATGTCTTTTTTTTTTTTTTAAACATCTTTATTGGAGTATAATTGCTTTACAATGGTGTGTTAGCTTATGCTTTATAAACAAAGTGAATCAGTTATACATATACATATGTCCCCATATCTCCTCCCTCTTGCATCTCCCTCCCTCCCATCCTCCCTATGCCACCCCTCTAGGTGGTCACAAAGCACCGAGCTGATCTCCCTGTGCTATGCGGCTGCTTCCCACTAGCTATCTATTTTACATTTGGTAGTGTATACATGTCCATGCCACTCTCTCACTTTGTCACAGCTTACCCTTCCCCCTCCCCGTGTCCTCAAGTCCATTCTCTACGTCTGTGTCTTTATTCCTGTCCTGCCCCTAGGTTCTTCAGAACCATCTATTTATTTTTATTCCATAGATATGTGTTAGCATACGGTATTTGTTTTTCTCTTTCTGACTTACTTCATTCTGTATGACAGACTCTAGGTCCATCCACCTCACTACAAATTTCGTTTCTTTTTATGGTTGAGTAATGGAACCCTCTTGCACTGTTGGTGGGAATGTAAATTGATACAGCCACTATGGAGAACAGTACAGAGGTTCCTTCAAAAACTGAAAATAGAACTACCATACCACCCAGCAATCCCACTACTGGGCATATACCCTGAGAAAACCATAATTCAAAAAGAGTCATTGTATCACAGTGTTCATCGCAGCTCTATTTACAACAGTCAGGACATGGAAGCAACCTAAGTGTCCATCAACAGATGAATGGATAGAGAAGCTGTGGCACATATATACAACGGAATATCATTCAGCCAACACGTCTTTAAAGTGGCAGCTGTCATATGAAGAGTGAGCCATCTCAAGGTTGCCACACCCACCAAAGACAGAACTGGCTCCTGGTTATCAAAGAGAGGGAGAGGGAGATGGGGAGGGAGAGGGGAGAAGGAGATGGAGGGGAAGGGGGAGGGGGAGGGAGATGGACAGCGAGAGGAAAGTGGATGGGGGAGAAGGATAAAACGAGGCTGACGGTAGGACATGGGATTCTGGGAACGCAAAGAAGTAATTTACCAAGGGAAGTGGAGCTGGGCATCTCGGGGGTGGAAGATTTTGTGAATTCCTATTCTTGAAATCACCTGAAACGATTGCAGTTGTGCAACGGAAGGGACAGATGGGATAAAGCAGTCCCAGGTCTGTTTCCCAGGTGAGGAAATGAACGTCTGCGAAGCAAGCCAGCCCCAACCCCCAACCGTTCTCAGGACCAGAACACAGGCCACCCCATCGCCAGCCTCCAAATCAACCTCACTCACACCCACGGCATCTCCAGCCAGGCGTTCCGAGAACACAGCCTGAGAAGCCCTGTGACGTCAGAACAGCACTGGGCACGCTTTACAACCAGAGCCAAAGTAACTCCCATCTGTGACCCGGACACTGTTGCCCCCACAGCCAGCCTGGCCCCCAAACGCTCAGGTCCCCGTGTAAACGCTCAGCCTTCGGCACAGACAGAGCCCTGACACCATCCCTGTGAGCGTGCCCCGCTCGGCGACACCGTCACCAAAGGGAAAGAGGCTGTCCCGATGGTTCGCCTCCCAGCCCCACACCGGAGCCTCTGGGAGCAGGACCCCACGCCGTCCCAGCATGGGTAACACCCACCACGGACGGGGCGCTCCGGCCTCTTCAGGGCAGCTGGGTGACGTTTTGTGGCTGGGCCTTGGCTCCCACCAGCTTGGTCCCCTCATCCTCCAGTGGGTTGGGGTAGAGAACATGAATCCCATTCCGTTTCAACCCAAAATCAGGATCTTCTGAGTGCGCTCAACTTTCTTCATAAAAGATCTGTTCAGTCAAGGGTAAGAAGCAGACTTCCGACAGCTTCCTGGAAAGAGCACCGAGGCAACTGGGTGACAATGTTTTGATGACGTTCTCTTTTTTTTTGGCCTCACTGCAAGGCATGTGGGATCTTAGCTCCCCCAACCAGGGATCGAACCCACACCCTCTGCACTGGAAGGCGGAGTCTTAACCACTGGACCACCGGGGACGTCCCGATGACCTGATGACATTCTTATAGAAACAGAGGGCTCCTCAGAGGCACTGAGCTCAACAACACGGAGAGATCTTCTGTTACAAGATGGTGCTTGAGCCACTCCACCCAGCGGGCCACTGCTCGGGCCTGGGCCACCTGAGGACTGACCCAGACAGGCCACATCTGCCCATCCCCGAGAGGAGGGGCTGGAGAATGTATTTAGTTCCTTGATGCTCACGTGATGGAGGGATGGGTGCCCCCAGCAGACAGTGGGAAATTCGGGAGTGAGGTCCCACTGTGGACCCTCCATCCGCAGCACCAAGCTGGGTACACACACCTGATGACGTCACTCCCAACCCTCACAGCAGCTGCGAAAGGTCAGAATGATCATCTCCATCTCACAGAGAAGCACACAAAGGCTCAGAGAGTCTGACTATCTTGCCCTCAGCTTCTCAGCCAAGATTCAAACCCAGGTGAGTGCGACCCCAAGACCCAGGTAAGAGACGGGCTCTCGGATTTACATATCCACTGTATGTCCTCAAGATGTTTGCAACTGAGCTGGAAAGACAGGAGATACGTTCAAAGACAAATGGACATTCTAGACCAGCCTGTCCAATGGACCTTTCTGCGACGGCGGAAATGTTCTATGTCCTGTGCTGTCCAGGAACCACACACAGCCACCGGCTAATTTGATGTGTGGCTAGGGCAATGGAGAATCTGAATTTTTAATTGTATTTCATTTAAATTAATTTGAACTTAAGGGGCCGCTGAATGTCCATATCGGACAGCGTAGTTAGAGATACTTTCTACCAAAAACATTCAGAAAACAGAACGGGCATAGCAGGCTTCATGCAGGACAGAGGCTCCAGGCAGGCCCTTGATGTGCTAGGATTTGAACAGGACCCTTGTCTCAGGCATGATCATCTTCCCTGTAGAATCTGGTTTGGAGTCAAGGACCCCAGAAATCAAGCCCAGTGCCCGTGGTCGTGGTCCACAGATGAGGAAAGCAAGGACGCTCCTCCCGCGTCCTTGTTCTTCTTGGAACTGCCTTACGCGGCAGCACGAGGAACTCTCGTTCGCCCCCCGCCACTGTCCTCCTGGAGGCTTTCCTCTCCTCCTTGCCCTGTGCCCTCCCTGCCAACACCAGCAGGTGCTGGGCTCGAGCTCTCTTTAGAAACCTGGACATCTTCTGTTCTACTTGTGGGCTGAGTCACTGCTCGCCTGCGATGGCTTTCACGTGCTTTATTCTCTTACACCTGTCACTCTGAGAATGGCATGTCTTGAAACAGTAAACAGCAGCACTCACAGAGAGACAGCTCCACCACCCCAACACACAGTCCCAACTACAGGACACAGAAGCCCTCCACCACCACTGGCCCTGCGCAGTGCTGGACCCAATCCCGAGAGCGGGGCACTGTATCCGTCTGACTCCATTCTTTCCCATACGAAGGTACACCCAAGGCGACGGCTGGGCCCCCTAGTACTGAATCTCCTGTTTCTGACACCCCAGTCACCGCCTGCCTACTAGTTGCAGAGATGTTGACAACTCTTCGGCTGTAAGACCAGATCAGCAAACAGGGCTCCCGGCACAGCAATGACCTGCCCTTCAGGCCAGGCCCCTGCATGCCCAGCTCTCAGAAGACAGGTGGCTCCGTCTGTGCAGTGGGACACTTGAAACCTCTGTCCCCAGTTTTCATTTCTAGCTCACGCAGCTGCCACACGCTTCACTCACTTCCAAGAGTATCCCTTCCAAGCATTAATAACAGCCGCAGGAACCTTACGTTCTCTAGCTTAAGGGACAGAGATCATGTAGGGCTGTAGGTTGTTTTTTGGCCGGGAGGGGGTCATCTCTTTTTAGTTCTTCCAGCTGTGGGAAAGGGAACCTCTATCTACCTTCCCAAAAAAGCGCAGACACACAATTTCACCTTCTGTACTCCGAGGACTAAGGTTCTTTGGGCTGCAATGAAGATGGTGTATGTCCTTCTAAGATGACACTCAAAACGAGGCCGGCCTTTGCATGTGGGATCACTGTGTGGTCGAGCTCACCACACACTTGAGACCCAAGACCCCACCAGCCAGGGAAGGAAGACCCCCCCCCGCAAGATCTGAGAACTCCATGTCAGGGTTGACAAAGTGGCCACAGGCCTGGTACATCCCACAGCTCGCGAGCTAAGAATGGTTTTTAAATTTTTAAAGGATTATTAAAATCTTTTAAAATATACTATAGACGCAGTAACGAGTCTGCAAAGCCGAAAATACTGCTGTCTGGCCCTTCCCGGGACAAGGTTGCTGACCCCTGGTCTAAATGAGCAGGACCTCCGCCGTCCAGAGGGTACCTGCCGTTTCCTGAGCTGAGTCCTCAACATTCCAGGTCCTCTTCATCCCCCTATGTTAGTTTTCCCTTGAAGTTCAGAAACAGATATCAAATGTTCTGAGGAAAGGCACAATAGCTATCAAACATAATAGCTGATAAACAAACGTTCACTTCTTCCAAGGAGCTCAACATCACAGGTGAGGATCTGGTTCAACACCTGTGCCTTGACTGTGACAGAAACAAGGCTCCGATTAACAACCAGCCAGAGACGATTCCAGGCATCAAAGCGAAGACGCCACAGAACGTCCTCGCCCATCCTGCTGCTGACTCAGGGATCCTCTGGGCAGCCCCAGCATCCACATTTGATAACGGTATTTTGACTCACCTTCTCCCCCACTGTCCGAGGGAAAGAAAACAGAGGCAGAAACACACTTGAATTGTCCCCTGGGATCTTGCCTTTGAGTTTCTTCGACACCTGCCCCTAAATATCCTCAGTGTCTCTCTGGATTAGAACTCAAAGGAGAAACACAGCATCCAGCCCTTCCTGGGCTTCCACCAGAGAGAATGGCGGCCCGGCCCGCAGCGCAAAGCCCCCAGCGCAGCCACCGTCTTACCTGGTTCAGTGCAGTTCTTGCTGCTCCGCGGCTCTGCATCTTCTGAAGTCAGCGAGTCATTCACCTGCATTAACTTCCTGCCCACGGTCCACTGTCTGTCTTGCCCGATGAGGTCCATGAAGTCAAGGTCTGGGGAGAAAAAGGTCACAGCCACGCATCACTAACAGCTGGGTGTCACCTGTCCCCAGGCTGGGTGCCCAGCGCCTTCAGCCATCGGCACTCAGTCCGGCCAACACCCCTTAGACCTCTCACCACCGTCGCTCACCATCCTGCTCCCACCTCCCAAGGGCTTCCTCGGCTCCCGGATCCTACTGGCTCCCACAGCGGCAGCCCTCAGCCAACAGCTGGGAGGGGGCGGTGCATAAACACCTCACGCTCCAGTGGGATGACTCTGAAGTGTGTGTTCTACCCTGGAATCCAGTTTTCCCCACTGGGATGACTCTCCAGGTGTCTACAAGGTGACTCTCTTGATAAAACACACTTTATTGGCCGCTGTCCTTTCCTGTCTTAATTCCCTGCACCCAATAACATGCTGAGAAATGTTGAAAAACCAACTCTCCAGGGGAAAAAGTCCTGGTCTTGTATCCACTGGAAAACTTCCATGGTGTGAATATTCCCATCATGGCCAATTTCGAGCTACCAACGTGATCTCACTGAATGTGGACTTGGGAAAAAAGGGCACGGTTGGGTCCGCTAAGTCAGGGTGACTGGCACCTACACACCAGCATCTACTCCTTGACCAGTACTTCCCTGAACCGCCTCCCAAATACACCACCTGCCACTGAGCACCTGCTCAGGATCTGCTTCTCGGGGTCACCCAGGCTAAGACACCACAACAACACGCCCAGAGCCTGGGCCAGTGCATCCCACATAACAAGATTTCAGTAAACACGAGATGAGAGCGTGAACAAGGGGAAAGTCGATCACTGAACGCGTGACTAGGGCTGAGGTCTCCGGCTGAGATGCCCACGGGGATGGACGTGCCAGGAGAAAGAACAGAGACGGAAGGGCCCATCGGGGGAGAATATGGTGGCTTCTGCTTAGGACGTGTTGGACCTGAAGTGTCTGTGGACCATCCACAGGGCAGCGTGCTGCCTGGGTAATGTGGGTGCAGACACCGCAGGGCGGACAGCTAAGCTACACGGAACATCAGGAGAATCGTAAGCAAACAGGGAAGAGTACGGCATGTGCATGGATGCAGTTTCCTAAAGAGAAGGGAATGGAAGAAGAAACCATGGGAAACTCAGCATTCTTTCAGAGCAGGTAGAGTCAAAGCATTCAGCAAAAGATCATGAAAGGAAGGAAAAGAGCAAGGGAAGTGGTGTCACAGAAGGTAAGCAGAAAGAGAATTTCAAAAAGGAAAAAGTGGCCGATGGCCTTGACTGCCGTGGACCAATCACGTAAGACAAATGCAAAGACACAACAGAGCGGGACCTCAGAGGGTCACTGGGATGTGGAAACACCAGGCACAGATGGCTCTTTCTAGTGGCTTGGAACTCAAGAAAGAGGTGACATGAGGCTTTGGCTACCTCTCGAGTGTCCAGAGTCGCTGTGGTCAGAAAATGGATCTAAGAACAAGACAAGGTTCTAATTCATGGGCCCAGCGGCCTTCGCAAAAGGCCAGAGGGTGCGCCCCACCGAGCCACACCAGCACAGTGTTCTGAATTGGTCAATGAAGAGCTGAAGGTCATCATACCCTTTCCTCAATTTCCATGGGGATTTTAGTTTCCTAAATGATACCACTTTCATTTTATAACTGGAACCTCATGACAATGCTCAGGAAAGAAAGAGGGAGCCTGGGCACTGTCTCTCTGTCCACTGCTGTCTCTCTGACACCTAATCACTGCTGGCTCAGAGGAGGTACTCAGTAAGTATGTGTCAGAGTAACCATTCCCACTTTGTGGATGGATAAAGTAAAACTCATGGAAGTTTCTGGAAATCACAGTGCTTGTAGGCATCTCACCTAAAGCCAACAGGACACACAGTAACATCCGTAGCTCACAAACTGAGGTCTTCCTCAGTCAAATGGAACCTGCTCCACATGTAAAATCATCAAGTAGCTAATTACAACTTTTACACATTAGCTAGGACAGGCCCTAGGTTTATTCTCAAAAAAATGTAGAACGTGGGGCCCAACTAGAACAAGCAATAACTTAAGACTCTGAAATACAGAAACCTACATGATGGCCAGATATAGCCATAATTGTGAGGACAATCCCAAAGACATTTCAAGGTCAAAGCAAGGCATCTGTGTACTCCTGTTCACCTGAATGGTTAATTCTTAGGATTAAGAACAGCGACAAGCAGAGGAAAAAAACTGCAAAAAACTCATAAACAAGGAATAAGGTCAGTTGCCTTAAAATTCAACAGGCAGACCTAAAATGTGAATATTACACCATATTACCATAAAGGATCTAAGAGTGTGGAGAAGGACACCCCGTTTGTCTCAGGTTGGGTTCCCGCAGAAGCAGCCCCTGAGGACAAGGATTTGAGCACAGGTGGTTTACATGGGGGGGGTGATCTCGGGAAGCACCCGTGGTGGGACAGGGCCAGGGAGCCAGCCAGTGGAGGTGTGTTTCAAGTTTCAAGTTGCTAAAATGGGCAAACTAGCACTTGACCCCTCTGGAAATCTCTGTGGGGCCAGTGTAGACATGCAACTCAGACACCCAAGGGGTGAGGGAGCTGGGGTATTTATCCACCTGCTCTTGGTCTGCCATGGGTAGAATGTAGGCTGTTCCCAGGGGACATTAATTCCCTGGCACTTCCAACCAAAGTGGGCTCTGGTACCCAGCAAAAGGCCTTAGATAATGAGACGCAGGTGCTGAAAGTTGGACGGTGCCCATGTGCACGGAAGACATGAGAACAAAGTGATGCGGGCAGGATGCCGATGGCATCTTCCAGCCTACACGAGACCAACAGATTGGCTGTTCTGCTCTTCTTGTAATCTGGGGTAAAGAAAAGTGCTCTGTGGTGCTGCAGTCCTAACATTCGGGAAGGTCCCAATGTGCATTGTTTGTACAGTGGTGAGCATAGCTGCCTTCCAGGAAGATTCCAAAAATCTGCAAAGAAGCAAAAGCATCCCTTCCAGTGACTTGCAAAGTTTCTGCTTAGGCCAAATTTCCATGGTTCTGTAATTCTGAGAGAAAAGCTGATACCAATTAAGAGATATAAAAATAAAGCCAGCTATTGTAGCAGAAAATTAGAGGATTTTTTTACATGATGATTCAATAGCTTCAGGAATCAGAGACTATTAAGGCAGCGCCTCTGGATTCTAAAACCTACAAACTTTTATCTCAAAAAAATATATATGACCACTGACCACTGATATACAGATGTGGAGACCAGAGTCTGAGAAAATGAGAATGATGAAAGCAAAGCACTGCGTTCACTTACTTCCCACTGAGAACCGTGTGACGATATTACACCCCATTCTCTTTGTCCTCACAAAACTGCTGGTGAGGGACTTCCCTGGTGGCGCAGTGGTTAAGAATCCACCTGCCAATGCAGGGGACACAGGTTCGAGCCCTGGTCCAGGAAGATCCCACATGCTGCGGAGCAACTAAGCCCGTGCGCCACAACTACTGAGCCTGTGCTCTAAAGACCGTGAGCCACAACTACTGAGCCTGCATGCCACAACTACTGAGACCCATGCGCCTAAAGCCGGTGCTCCGCAATAGAAGCCACCGCAATGAGAAGCCCGAGCACTGCAACGAAGAGTAGCCCCCACTCGCCGCAACTAGAGAAAGCCCGTGCAAAGCAATGAAGACCCAACGCAGACCCAAAAAAAAAAAAAAAAGTCAAAAGAAAAAAACAAAACTGCTGGTAAGGTAGGAAAGGGCAGTTGGTTCTTGGGTCAACTTACCTTTGGAGTAAATAAGTCAGAGTAGAAGTGATCTACCTAAACTCGGAACTCACCCATGGCCACAGCCACTGCCAGTTAATAATCATCATGACAGCCATTCATTGAGTGTCATGACAGCCATTTATCGAGTGTCTATTATGTGCGAAGAACTTGCCACTCTTCGCCATGTTTCATCTTAACATCTTATTCTGAACTATTAACTCCACTTGCAAATAAGGAAACCGAAGCACAAAAGAGGTTAAAAGACTTGCCCAAGGTCACACAGCAAGCAAAGAGGCGCAGAATGGGGATCTGACCAGGATCTGACCAGGTCTAGTGACCCCAAAACCCACATTCTTGGTAGATCCCTGCAGAGGATGAAATCCATCTGGCCATATTACTCAGCTATAGCAAGACAGATCCACTATGCAGCCTGCACCTTATACGAGGTGAGGGGTGGAGACAGCCTCACTGGACCTACTTCCCCCAGAAACTATTAGGAACAGTGGCACGTCAGGAGCGTCACCCCGTGAAAGCATCATACACACAGAAGAAAACGGTCCTGAAACCCCACTGGATGCAGGACGCTCAGCTGAGCATGGATTTCTCAGAGACTCAGCTGGCCCCTTGGTCCCAACATGGAGGCTTACAGTCTTGGATTTAGGGAGGAGTGGGTGGGCAGTGGGGAAGGCAGAGGGGATTGGGGGAGGCGCCCGCTGCTCTCCCCTCATCACTCCCGGCTTCCCTGGACTTCTTGGCTCGGCAGGAGGTGCTCCTCGAAGCTACACTTGAGCAATGTCAACAAAAGCCCTTGGCCCCCATCCACCGCGTGCCTGGCTCCGCCCGCCAGGCCCTGGAAGTGGCGAGCTGGCCTAATTAGTCAGGGAGCGGGTGGGGGCGGTGAAGAGGGAGGCAGCGGGCTCACATGTCACATGTCACCAGCTCCGAGCAGGGCGGCAGGGGTGGGCCGTGGAGATAGCGCGGGGTGCCTGCTGGAGGGGAAGAGGCGCTCAACTTGAGACTCAAGCACACGCGCTAAGGAAGGAGAGAGTGTGAGGCTGGGAGCCAAGTTTCCATTACAGAGCTGTGCCCTCGTCCTCTCCTGCTCTCTCCCTCCCTCCCTCCCTCTCTCTCTCTCTGTCTCCCTGTCCCCTTCCGCCTCTCCATGACCAGGGCTTGGAAAGCCCAAGGCTTTCTGACCCCAAGAATGGATTTCCTTCGGTGCCCCATGTCCCAGCTTCACCCTAAGACTAACATGCTTTCTCCCATGTGCACCCTCATCCCACAT